CATGGACAAAACACAAAACTAGAGAACAGTATGCCTAACCAGCTCAATCACAATCTTACAAGCATAAATATTTAATATCACCATTGTTATAAGGAAAAACAAGGAAGAAACGTGGTTTATACACCGATAGAAAAGACTTTGATGACTAGAAGGAAGTCAGGGATGGGGGCAGGATGGGGCAGAAACAGGGAGGGGGAGGGATAGGAGGGTTCAACAGGTTTTTTAAAAAGTTCATCTCAGAACCTGACAAGGGCTGTGCTACCGTGTCCTGTAGAGTTGCTAATCATTAGGCCTTGACTCAATGGCATTAAGTTTGTTTTTTTAAAATCATGGTAAAGAACAATTGTTCAGGAAATTTTTTAATTATTCTTCACAGATCAATAGTCTAAGTCCCATGAGTGTCAGGAACATGCCATCTTTTGTTAATAGTTTATGGGATGCAATAAAGACAACTTCAATAATAGTTGGGTTATTTCTCAAGAGTTTTCTGATGTGGACATGTAGGCTAATTCAGGACTGAGGGTAGCTTAATGTTTTATAACTCCCCATAAGATATTCACTGGGCACAAAGACTTCAGGCTAAAAATTTATCAATGATTTAATTCTCCAATTCCAGAAATCTGAATTAAATACTATATTTTACTAAAAAGATAGCAAAGATAGAGGTAAAAATTTACTGCATTTATGAAGTTATTTTGAAATCTAGAGGATATTTTATGCCCTAGTGAGTTCTATATTTGAGAGAAAACTTCACAGGCACAAAAATTTTAATACAGATTTCAACATTACTTCTGCTCCCATAGATTTACAGCCTCAGAAACCCAAAGGTGTAAATTCTACGTTGTCCTATAGGGTCACTGTGAGTGAGAACTGACTTGACAGCAGTAAATTTGGTATTACTAACAGACTACTTTCACGAGCCTTCATTCTGCTATCCTCTGCATATCTATAAATATTCTCTTGTCTGTCCCTACCTGTTCTCAGATAGTATCACTAACTTTTCCCGTGAACTCTGCTATCCGCTGAAAATCCCATCTCAAAAGAGTAAGCCTACTAAATAAATAATTAAACCTTTTTGAATTATTGGGTGGCCAATCTCTGTCACAAAGAGGCCTTTATTTACTTACCTAAGAAATGTGGATGAAATGACATAGGCTTACTAGTCGCTGAATAATATCCAATTGCTCTCTTAAATCGAATAACTTTGTCATCTGTTCTAGACTGAAATAAATGTAGGAAAACATTTGTAAATTAGTATCCCAATGGCTATGTGTATTAGTGTATTTCTAATTTAGCACATGTAAAATCTATACTTAAATAAAAGTTTAAAATATTAAAATATCCAAAGAAAATCTGGTTATTACATAAAGTACAAATCAAACGTTAAATCTTTTAAAGCAATGTAGTTAGCATAGAGTACAAAACTGGTAGTCAAGTGACTTTGGTTCTGGACTGTAGCTCTATAATCTCTCTAAATTCAGTTTGCAAAGTCCCTGATCTGCCTAAAGATGTTTCACATTCCAGCTACAGTCAAATGGTACACATACCAATGGGCAGATGAGTGCTATACTCACATAAAGTTTTTAGCTATTGATAGAAGGAATAGGAAGTCACAAGACTTCATCTAATACTGCCTTGTTACAGTAATTCATACTTTCACTAAAAAGGGTGGTGGTGGGGGGTGTTTACATAATCTGGTGTCAATTTGAGAATTAAGAGTGAAGGGGTGGAGTGTAGCCTGTCAATCAGATCACAGCTTGATGACCTCATTTGGAGGCACTGAGGAGATAAATAACTCCTTGAAGGTGGGACAAATGCTCACTTCCTGAGAGAATCTCTTCTGACAAGACACATGGGGTTATGCTGATGGCAGCGAGAGCCCTGGACCTGGAGGAGCCACCTGGAGACCCACGCCAATGCTGAGATGCTTCCACTGTCACTGGATCCACAAAACTATCCACCCACTGCATTCAGCATCATTGCATGTATTTCGTGAGTCTGAAGAGGACTTTGTAGATTGGTATCGGACATCTGAGCTAATATTGAACTTAGGGACTTGATCTGGACTGGGCTGGAATGTTTTCTCAATAGTCAATTGCTCTTGTATATAAAGCTCTTTCTTATGCACATAAGGGTATCTATAAATGTTGTTTCTCTAGTCTACCCAAAGTAACAGAGGGGGGGGGAAATCACTTGAAGAAAACATTAAAAATTCGCAGCACCATTTGATCTATTTAATTAGAACTTATCTTCTTAGTAAAAACAGAGATCTTACTAAGAAAACTTAGGAGCAGCAGAGACCTTAGCTATCTTTTACCAGAGATGAAGTTGAAGAAGTAAAATAAAGTGACTAAGACTACCCAGCAGGTGGGCAGCAAAGCCAGGCCACACCCTCAACGTCAGGCCCCAAAGACTAGGGCTTTCTCCACCGTGGCCTCAAGAGTCCTTCAAGAGCTCCTAGCACAAATCCAACGACCGTGTTCTTCCTCGCATTCCCATTCCAAACTTCAGACACCAATATGCACACATATATCTTATGAGTCTGTATTTTCTTTACCTGTGAATGCTGAAAAACATCTTTTGCTATAGCATCAAAATCAGTAGTATCCTGGATATTACGGACATAGTCAGCAACAGCCTTGATCACTACATCGCAGGGTGGTAAAACTAGCTGATGAGCCCGTACCTAAAAAAAATAAAGCATATGTAAACAAATGATTCAGTCAGTACTTAAAATTAGACACTTTCAACTCTATGAACTATATGAAAAACAAGGTTATTAGGATTGGAGGAAGACTCATTAACAATTTACATATGCAGATGGCACAAACTTGACTGCTAAAAGTCAAGAGGACTTGAAAGTGATGAAGATCAAAGATAACAGCCTCCAGTATAGATAACCTCAACATGATTTTTTTTAATCTTCAAAACCCGATCAAATAAGAAACATCACGATAAAATTTAAGTCAGAGAAGACTGAAGTCAATAATTTAATTTTACTTGAATTCACAATCCATGCCCATGAGAGCTATATTCAAGAAATCAAAAGTACTGCTTCAAATAAATCAGCTGCAAGTTTTTTAACTGTTAAAAAGAAAAAAAAAAAGATGTTGTTTTGAGGCCTAAAGTAAGCCAGGCCCAATCTACAGTATATTTTCTATCACGTCATATGCATGAAGAAGAGAGAGAATTAATAATAAAGACTGCCTGAAGAACAAGCAAATCTTTGTTAGAAGTAGTACAACCAAAAAACTTCTTAGAAGTAAAGATGATGAGACTTTTCCTCATGTATTTTGATAAGTTATCAGTAGGGGCCAGACCCTAGAGAAGGACATCATAGTTGTTGTTAAAAGGAGTAATCAAAAAGGAAGATCCTCGGTCAGATGGACTGACACAGTGGCTACAACAACAGACTCAAACAAGCAACAATTATGAAGAAGACAAGGCAGGGCAGAGATGGACTTCATTCTTTTGGGTAAAGAGTCACAATGAGATAAAAACACCTAACAACAAAATGTTACCTTTTAATCAGTGCCTGATTAAGATCTATCCATGAGACCCTAGCCTTAATATACCCATTAAACCTTTCATTCTCTGACGTTAAAGAACTGTACCCCGTTTTGGGGGGGGAAAGTCAAGGACTAGTGAAATTTCAAAGACTCTGCTTACTTAATTATGCAAGCTGAATAAAAGAAACCTGGGGTAGGTAGTGCTTGGAATTATTTATACCTGTAAGTCATAAATAAAATTTCAGCTATGCAAGTCTGTATTAATTTTCATTTAAATATCAAATTTTAAAGTTAAGAACTGAAAACAGGAACTCAAGCAGACCCTTGTAAACCAATGTTCACTGCAACATTACTCACAACACAGAAACAACACAAGTATCCAGCAACAGACAAATAAGCAAAATAAACAAAATCCTTGACCTATAGACAAATTATGATAATATGCTACAATATATATGACTAAAAAGCTACATGGCATGTCACATGCAAAAGAACAAATATGATATAATCCTACTTGGACGAAATACTTATATCAGGCAAAGACAAAAGTTTATTTGTGGTTAAGAAAGTAGGGAATGGGAATTATTGTTTAAAGAATCTGGATTTGCATAGAAGTAAAACTTTGCCAAATAGCTAACAGTGATGGCTGCAAAATAAAAGTATAATCAATGTTCCTGAATAATACACTTTAAAATGGTTAATATGAAAACTTTTGTTGTCAATTATTTTAATATAATTTAGGTTATTTTGTTTGTTTCCCCCACTTGTGTTTGAATAAAAAAGAAAACAACTCACTTCCACTGAGTCAATTCTGATAGTGACCCTATAGCACAATGTAAAACCACCCCATGTGGGTTTCTGAGAGCAGAAAACCACACCTTCTCCCATGGTGTAGCTGGTGGTTTTGTGTAGCTGGCTTTGTAGCTATCAGCTACCATAACTGAAATCGCTAGGGATCCCTTGTGTTTATTAAATAGTTGCTATAAACTTCCCTGGGATGTACTATCTCTTTGCTTTATTAACATTTAGTGAATGTAACATTCCCATTATAATGAACTCAAATAGTACATGTTGATGCACAGGATAAAGATATTCTTAAGACTATCTCCTGTGGAAAATATAAATCTACTAATACAGAAATATTCCACACTGAACATATACACAAATAAGTGCATGATACTAAGTTTAAATGGGAATTCTTATCTTTTTAGTTATTTGAGAGTTTTAAAAAATAATAATGTAAGGAAAGGGTCCAGTGGTGATAGGACTAGCACTCCTCAATATGCCAACAACAAAACATAGCTGTACATTTCTAGGAAAACCAACTGAGAGTAAATGGGTGATTCTCATGTTCCTGAGTGTTGTATATACCTCCAGTATGCAATCTGGAAAGAGATTTCCCCAGTGGCCTGGGCTCTGGACATGGCTCCAAACTAGGAATTTGGGAAAACAGTAACCTTGTGCTTCAACTTCCTGTGAGTGACTTTCAAATTTTGAACTAGATAATGACTCAAATCCCTTACTGTTCAAAGGATTTTAAACTTATTATGCTATATATAATATTTAAAATGCTGGTAATTTCTGACAGATTGTATAAATTAAACTAATGAAATTCAAATGGTAAGACTGTTGTTAATGTTGTTAGGTGCCACTGAACTGGGTTTCTGATGCAGTGACCTTATGTACAAAAAACACTGCCTAGTCCTGCACCATCCTCAATTGTTAAGTATGAGCCTATTGTTGCAGCCACTACATTAACTCTGAACCACTGAACCACTAAGCATAATATCCCTTTCCAGGGTCTAGTCCAAAGAACGTGCAACGAAGGCTCGCCATTCTCACTTCTAAGGAACAGTATGGCTGTACTCCTTTCGGGAAAGGTTTGTCTGTCCTCTGGCACTCGGTGCTGCTTCTCTAGACTTTCAAGTCTTCTGTCATTGGTGTTCAATGAATCCATGATACGGTCTCTAGAGTCAGGTTGGATATACTCCAGGTCATATTTTGGCTCTTGTGAACCTGCTTTAATTCACTTTAACTTCAATCTGAAATTACATACGGTATTTGCAACTGATGTTCTGGGTTAGCTGACATTAATCTTCTCCAGCATCTCTTCCTACAGATGTAGTAATTTTGATTCCTGTATATCTGTATATCACATTTGGGTGGTCCATGTGTATAATCAAGTGGCTATTGTTGACAAATGATATTTGCAATGAAGTAGTGATTGGTTTCTATCACCAAGGCCATATTTTATTACAGAATAGAATTTACCAAATATAAAAATAATTCTCCAGGGTAGAGACAAAACATCTTCTTGCCCAAAGTAGCTGATGGGGATTGGGAGAGGCTTCCTCTTTCCATAGTGCATGTATCTTAACCTAATAAAAGTATACCTGTACTCAGGCCCACCTATGGGAAAAAATAAATTTGAAGTACCAGGATAGTAGTTTAAACCTATGAAACTACAGACAGGTAATTTAAAATAATTTATATATTATGGGTATTAACCCATGCTACTTTAAAATGAAATTGAGGGAATTTGCTTTTACAATATCCTTGTCACTACCCACAACAATATTGTGGCCAAAAAAAAATCCCTGAAGTGGTTTTTCTATAATCAACCTGTTGTCCTGAAGTCACCTGTGACAGGACACAGTAGAAACTCCCCACAGGATTTCCAAGACTGCAATCTTCATGAAAGTCAGATGCCACATCTTTCTACCACAGTGGTAGGTTTGAATAAAAGATGATGCAATTAGCAGTTTTTCCTAAAACAAACTCATTACCATCAAGTTCATTCTGACTCTTAGCGATCCTAGACGACAGAGTAGAACCATCCCCGTGAGTTTCTGAGACTAAATTTTTGCAGGAGTTGAAAGCCACCTCTTTCTCCCACAGATGGCTAGTGATTTCAAACTACTGACCTAGCTGTTAGCAGGCCAACATGTAATCAATCAACTGCACCACCAGGGCTCCTTCCGATAGATAACTAAAACTCGGTCTATTCTGACCCACAGCAACACTTTGAAACAAACCAGAACTGCCCGTGTGTTTCTGAGAAGCTGTAACTCTTTATAGGAGTAGAAAGTCGTAGCTCTCTCCCTCCCACTGAGTAGCTGGTGGTTTTAAACTTGCTAACCTTGCACTTGGCAGTCCAATGCATAACCACTACACCACGAAGGCCCCTTCACTACAATTAAAGTGTCCTCTAAATCCTTAAGTGGTTAAGCAACACTAAAAACACACACCATTTGTCATGTGGCTACTGCAACAGATTGATTTTTAGCACTTCGACTCCAGCCATCCTCAAATGCCCAGGTCTGAGTCGCTCTATACCTTTGAAGAAAACAATGCATTTTCCTCTCTGGTAAATTACAAATGCTGCCTTCTAAATTTAACTCGGCATAAACTCTGTTATGCACTCTTAGTCCTAGGGACTAGATTCAGCAATTCAATGACTTTTCCAGGAACTAAAGCTTGTTGTAGCACTGTGACACTAAGCACCTATTTAAAACCCCAACTGTGGAATTCCTGGAGGCACAGGTTCCCTCCCTAAGACACTTCAACTAAATATGTGATGAGATGTAGCAGCACTCACCTAATGCCAAGCAAGTTTTCTAAATATTGAGAAAATTCATGTCTCTAACTCAAACCCTGAGTATCACTTAACTAAAATACCTAGTTGTTAGGAAGCCATTGAATCAGTATTCTAAATCACAGCAACCCTATGTGTAACATAACAAAACACTGCCTGATTCTGAGACAAGGCACAATCATTGTTATGTTTGAGCCCATTGTTGCAGCCAATCTCTTTGAAAATAATCCTTTTTCACTGACCCTATTCTTTACTAACCATGATGCCCTCCCCACCTACAAGTTACTGGTCTGTTCTGATAACATGTCCATAGTACAGGAGACAAGGTCTTAACATTATCTTTTCCAATGTACAATCTGGTTATACTTCTAGAACAATTGTTCTTACAGCAGTCCAATATTTTTATTGGCACCTAATCCACATAACATATAATTCAATATTTCAATCATACCAAGAAGAATTGTACAATCATCACCACAATCAGCTCTCATATTTTCAACATGCTTCACCAACACCGTAATTTATAGGTATCAATTCTTCTCCCATCTTCTGAAAATATAACAACTTAGATGAAGCACAACT